GCATATTCCTTCTCCCATACACCCAGACCCACTGGCAGAGGAGGTGGCATTGGTCTCCTGCTCTCTCCCAAATGGAGCTTTTCCCTCTTCAAGCTACCTAACTTCACTCCTTCCACCTTTGAATTCCATGCCGTCACAGTAACCCATCCTATACAGTTAACCATTGTTGTTCTCTACCGTCCACCAGGCGCCTTGGGGGACTTCTTGGAGGAATTAGATCATCTCCTCTCACACATCCCTGAAACTGGCCCTCCCGCTGTACTTCTCGGAGACTTCAACCTCCTGACAGGGAAGATAGACAAACTAACATCTCTGTTAACCGCCTTTGCTTTCTCACTGTCTCCGTCCCCACCGACTCATAAAGCTGGCAATGTCCTTGATCTCATATTCTCAAGGAACTGCGCTACTTCTAACCTCTCTGTAAACCCGCTCCACACATCCGATCACTTCTTCATTTCATTCTCTCTATCCCTTTCCAAACATAACAAACTAATCTCTTCCCATCCTACACTTGTCCGCCGTAACCTTCGCTCCCTCTCTCCCTCTACCTTTGCCTCGTCGGTGCTCTCAGCCCTCCCTTCCTCTGACTCGTTCCAACTCCTGCCTCCAAACTCTGCTGCAGAAACTCTCCTCTCTACTCTCTCATCCACTCTGGACTCTCTCTGTCCTCTCACATCTCGGCAGGCTCGTCAGTCCCCTCCTGCTCCCTGGCTAAATGATGCACTGTGTGCTAATAGAACCGTCCTTAGGGCAGCAGAGCGGAAATGGTGGAAATCCAAACACCGTGACGACCTCCTAACCTATCAGGCTCTCCTCTCCTCTTTCTCTGCTTCGATCTCTCAGGCAAAAAGCACTTTCTTTCAAGATAAGATCCAAGCTTCCTATTCTAATCCTAAAAAACTATTTTCCATCTTCTCCACCCTCTTGGACCCTCCAAAAGCCCCTCCCCCCTCCTCACTTCTGTCAAGCGACTTTGTTACCCACTTTGAAAAAAAGGTTGATGATATTCGCTCTTCTTTTTCTGACTCACCGCTGGGTCACCAGACCCTCCTTCCACCCACACACTAACCTCCTTTTCCCCTCTCTCTCCAAGTGAGGTTCTTACCGTCATTACCTCTGCCCGCCCTACCACCTGTCCTCTGGACCCTATCCCTTCAAACCTCCTTCAGACTATCGCTCCTGATATTCTACCGTTTCTCACCCATTTCATCAACACTTCTCTAACTTCTGGTCACTTTCCAAACAGTCTCAAGGAGGCAAGAGTAAACCCTCTCCTAAAGAAACCCACTCTCAACCCGTCTGATGTTATAAACTACAGGCCTGTCTCTCTCCTCCCGTTCCTGTCTAAATCACTTGAACGCGCTGTCTTTAAACAACTCTCCTGTTATCTCAATCAGAACAACCTTCTGGATCCGCACCAGTCTGGTTTCAAGGCAGGTCACTCCACAGAAACTGCTCTCATTGCTGTCACGGAGGAACTGCACACTGCCAAAACTGCATCCCTCTCCTCTGTCATCATCCTGTTGGACCTGTCTGCTGCATTCGACACGGTGAATCATCAGATCCTCCTTCGCACTCTCCAAAAACTTGGAGTTTCAGGCTCTGCACTTTCCCTCCTCACCTCATACCCGAAAGACCGTACCTACAGGGTGATTTGGAGAGGGTCTGAGTCCGACCCTTGTCAATTAACTACAGGGGTCCCTCAGGTCTCTGTTCTTGGTCCCCTCCTCTTCTCCCTGTACACAAACTCGCTCGGATCAGTCATTAGCCCGCATGGTTTTTCTTACCACTGCTACGCTGACGACACCCAATTAATTCTGTCCTTTCCCCGCTCAGAGACCCAGGTCGTCGCACGCATCTCTGCTTGTCTAGCTGACATCTCTCAGTGGATGTCTGCTCATCACCTCAAGCTCAACCTTGACAAGACTGAGCTGCTCTTCCTTCCGGGAAAAGATTGTCCCACTCTTGACCTAACAATCAACATCGGCACCTCAGTTGTTTCCCCGACTCAGACTGCAAGGAATCTGGGTGTGACCCTAGATAACAACCTGTCCTTCACTGCAAACATCGCTGCTACAACCCGCTGCTGCAGATACACGCTTTACAACATCAGGAAGATACGTCCCCAGCTGACACAGAAAGCGACTCAGGTTCTGGTCCAGGCTCTCGTCATCTCACACCTAGACTACTGCAACTCCCTCCTGGCTGGTCTACCTGCATGTGCCATCCGACCTCTGCAGCTCATCCAGAATGCAGCGGCTCGTCTGGTCTTCAACCTTCCTAAATTCTCCCACACCACTCCGCTCCTCCGCTCCCTTCACTGGCTTCCGGTAACTGCTAGAATCCACTTCAAGACACTGGTACTTGCTTACCATGCTGCGAATGGATCTGGCCCTTCGTACATCCAGGACATGGTTAAACCGTACACCCCAGCGCGTGCACTACGCTCTGCATCAGCCAAACGACTCGCTGCACCCTCGCTGCGAGGGAGACCCAAGTTCCCATCGGCGAAAACATGTGGGTTTGCTGTCCTGGCTCCAGGATGGTGGAATGAGCTCCCCATTGACATCAGGACGGCAGATAGCTTGCACATCTTCCGGCGCAAACTGAAAACTCATCTCTTTCGGCTCCACTTCGAGCGTTAGAACTATTAACGAGGCACTTTTATACTAATAAAGGACTGGCTTACCTAAAGCCAGTTGAGTAGCACTTGAAATGTTTGGCTCTATGAAACCTGATGTACTTATATGATTCTGTTTTCTTCAAGGTTGTGTCTTCCTGGTCGAATGTACTTATTGTAAGTCGCTTTGGATAAAAGCGTCAGCTAAATGCAATGTAATGTATGTATTTATTAAATCATTTATGTATTTATTTAATGTTGGCTTAAATGGCATTCCATATTGATTTAACTCCATTTAGCTCACCTCCCTTTGCCTGTCCGTCCGTCAGTGGTTCATCAGCTGAAAAGATCTGCGTACCCGTTACTCTGTAGGTCATGTTCACTCACTGTCACCAGTGGCGTTTTCTCCTGGAGGCCAAGGGAAGCCAGGCTTCCCCTGTTTTTTCGGATTGTAGTTATAATTTTAATAAATAAATAAAAACACTTCGTTTAGTTTCGGAAATTCTTTGTTGTGTGTTGCTGCCGGCCCGTCTCTCCCCCATTCTCATTGAGTATTTTACAAATAGTGAAACAGCGCCCCTCTAGATGTTATGGTGAAACAGTAGATTGCACTCTCTGTTGCGAGAGGAGGTCAGCCGAAATTGGCTTCCCTTGGTGAAAAAAATGGAGGGATTGACCAATCAGATGAGGCCCACGTGATGCCCCTGCCAACCTGTGATTAGTCAGGGCCATGCCAAGGGAAGCCAGAGGCGGCTGGCTTCCCTTGCCTCACAATCCAATCAAATCGCATCAACTTAGTGTTGCAGTGACGCATCCTAAAACCCGGAAGTAAGCTGCGCTCGGTTTCCCTCGACAAAAAAGCAGTGGGATTTCTCCATAGGATTTAGGAAAATAGCTCGAAATAAGGTCAGTGGAAAACGAACCTGTTAGATAAATGCACGTTGTGTTCAGTCGGATAATATCCACATGTCTACCCTGCTTTTATAATTTTTGAATCATAACTCTAATCGATAGAAGATAGAGAGCGTCACTGCATCACTCTCACCGCCGTTAGAAAGTAGCAAGCAACTGAAGCAAGTGCAATTATGGAGGGTGGAGATTTGGAGTATTTACTCAAAAATAATTGTACTAAACTTCCGCTACAGCAGCAACAAATACAATCTGATGACAGGCCAATGCCCAAACTGGAGCTGTGTACAGCGAGGAACAAAGGAGCGAATCGGACGTAAAACGTTAAAGGTCTCCTGATTTAGTTTGTGAATGAATGCTTATTAGAGTTTGGGCTGGAGAGTGCGTGCGGACCTGTCGGTTAGATAACAGGCGTGTGTAAGTCCTGCATCTGTATGATACAAATGTGTGTGAAATGATACCGGGTGCTGTAATCACTCATCTGGTTACGTTATTACATTGACCACCACACCCCCGACCCAAAAGAAAGGACGTATTATTGGCTTCCCCTCATTTTTTGCCCACGCCACGCTACTGATGAAGTTATATCTTTATGTCTGACACAGAGATGGAGTACTCGAGTCCTGGACTCGGACTCGAGTGCCGATTTTCGGGACTCGTGACTCACTCGGACTCGCGCATTGATTGAGCGACTCGGACTTGGACTTGTGAATTCTCGTGCACGATGACTTGGACTCGGACTCGAGCAAGTTTTCTCTGGAGTCTGATGTCCTCTATCCCTGCGTGTGCACCTGCGAGACGAGTTCACCTACTGGGCCTCGCTATTCCAGTCTAAAGATGTCTAGAGACACACCCCGCATCTTGCTGTATGCTTTCACACATTCTGCTTCCACATTGGAAAAGAGCAGCGCAAGCAGAATGACGTCATTTTGCATGCTAAGTAGCCATGTGCTTTCTGGGGATCAATCTTTATCGGTAAACCATTCAACCGGTAAAAGTTCCTTCAAAATAAGAGTCCCGATCTTATTACTATCAAAATAAAAGTGCAAAACGAAAACTTTACCATAGGAAAATATTGGCATACACATATAATCACTTCTCTAAAAGGTAACTCATTTTAAATATAGTTAGACATATTATAGGTAATTTACAATAATATTAATATTAGTAATAAGCTTTATATTTGTATAGTACCAATTACAAGAATTGTAGCCAAACTCGCTTCACAGCAGTTCCATAGACAGATTAGTATAACATGACAGGATAAAAGCAATGTAGGAGCAGCTATTTCAACACATATATCCACGAAGATCAATACATGAAGACTTGTGACTCGGACTTGACTTGGACTCTTCTTAGGTGACTCGGACTTGGACTCAGACTCGAACACAGGTAATGATGACTCGGACTCGACTCGGACACTCCTTGGTGACTCGGACTCGGACTCGAACACAGGTAATGATGACTCGGACACTCCTTGGGTGACTCGGACTCGGAGAGTGACTCGAGAGTGACTTGGACTCGTGAATTGGTGACTTGACTACAACACTGATTAGTAGTGCATGACAGGATTAATGTGTCAACTGTCATGGTTGTAAACATACTGGTAAGGAAGATAACATTACTTTACCCTTTTGTAGGCTAAAGCATGCTGTTATCAATCATAAACTTGGTCATTATCTTCCAGTATTTATGAATTCCTTTGAAAAAGTAGGCCTGCTTTGCTTACAATTAAGTGTATGCTTCACATCAGACCTTTTATGGGCACAGCCCAGAAACACACAACAAAACAACAAAATCTTAGTAGTAAAACAAAGTAAGATTTGCTACTTGGTTTTAATGATCTTGTTTGTTATATCCTTTTAAATACCAGAAAACCAAAACAAATACTTCCTTAACAATGTTACAGCCCACAAAACCCTGAAGAAAATACCCCAATTTATTTTGTTCATTATTTTTGTCTTTGCTAAAACAAATAACTTTGTCTATGTCAATGTTAAGATGTCAACCAGGGTATTGATGTAATGGTTGTGTAATGTATTTGCATATGCTAGATATTTATTTTCGATATAGATACAATTATTGCTGTCATCATTAACTCTTCTTCCTTTTCAATTTCTATAGGGTTTTATCATTCAAGTTATTTGGGGTGAGTTACTTACTCATTCAACTGTCTGTCACACATGAATACAATATATATATTGTACAACTATGTTATTGACCATTACTTTTTTTATCTGTGATTCCAATAGAACAAAACGAAAGACATTTTGACGGAAGAAATAGTGGCAAAAGTGAAAGCCCTAGAAAATAATAAAGACACATCTTTCCACACACAACTCTTCTGGGGCACTCTATGCACTCAACTTGGGATTCCTGTGAACACAAACAATCAGTACAGATTAAGAAGACAATTTCACAAGGTAAGTACTTAGTAATTAATTATGACTATATTTAACCCTTGTGTTATGTTCACATTCGCACCCTTTGGTAATGTTCGGGTGTACTGAATGTACTGAGGATGTTTGTCTATAGTTCCTCAGGTTTGTTTTAAACAGACAAATAAAGATCAAAAAAAGAAATAACTGTGTGACACATGTCCAAAATGATCACACCAGAAACTACAATGTCAACGTTAAAATTAAATGATTAGAAGTGGACTTGTCATTTAGGACATTTATCATTATCATGCAGCAATTCCTCAGATATGTGAAAGAAAATCACACAGGGGATGTGACCGATCCTGCTATTGTTTAACCTCTAAGTAATTACATTCAATATATTTTAGAATTGACAGGAATTATACAGATTATAATTAATTTCAATACATACATTTAAAAAATATGAGTATTTAAATAAAATCAAATAGATTTAAATGCTTAAAAATCAACTCTACCATGATTCATTTCTGTGAGTGTAGGATGTGACACAAGTTCAGGTTACGCATATATATGATTGCCAAGTAAATACAAATTGATCATTTTGCATTTTATTATATTTGTATTTATTTATTTTCAATTTTATTTATCACACTATCATTTTCAATACTACATACATGATTAGTTCTAAATCACGTCTTTTTTAAATCTCAATTTTGTTTGGGATTTTAATTGACTTTATCATAATGTTCACTTTTAAAGTTTTTATTCTTTAACATTATATTAAGGTTGGATCTTGATTATATTTATATATATTCAGGCCCTTACACTTAAATACTAAGTCGTGGTTGTCTGTCTTTCACAGCACAAACAAGATGTCACAGTGTCAACGCAGCTGACCCTGGACAGTGGAAGCTCGCAAGAGGGAGACGAGACGACTGACCAAGTTAGTCAATACTTTGCGTCTGCATTTGATCAATTGGCGTTTTAGGTGTACGAAATTTCCGACTGATAATCAAAAAGTCTCCGGTTTAATATCCGGGTAAATGTGTCATATTTTCCAAAAGTAAGACACTCAACACATTATTTATCCTGATGAGCATTTTGGGATCTTACATAGTAGCCAAACCACACCAACAACGTAGGGATGTGTGTGAATTGATTATTGTGGAGCATACTATATATAGTGCTTTTGAGAAAAGCGATATATAAAAGCATCCCATTTACCATCAACTTTACCATGTTCCCATATACTGCTTTGAACAAGCAAAGTTAGAGTTATTAGACTGGGTATATACATGTTAATTTTCATTGCTTACATGCCCTGCTTTTTAAAATGTTATTTTGTATTTGAATTCATCCAGCATTAGAAGAAAAAGGGATAGATATAAATTAGTTTCTAAAAAAATTATTGAATGATAAATCTCAGTCTTTTTAACTATTTGTTTTTAAGTAAGTTGTACACCTAATGCCGATCTAAAATCAATCAGTTAAGTAATGATTGAAAAAACATTTTGTAGTAAATCTACAGTAGTAGTTTATAATTATATTTCTATGTGTCAATGTATACTTCCTGAAATGTAAAAAACACAAGGAGACTATTAAAAGTTATCGTACAATTAAACTACACGACTTTGAGCTGCAGGTCATAACACACTTGGAAGGCTGCATAATGAAAGGACACAACATTTATCAATTCAACACAACAAAATATTTATATTTTTAAAATTGTGTTTTCATGGAAAAACAATAACATTGTGTGTTTTGATGAGGGCACCATGAGCGACACAACTGAGCAAGACGGTTTTATCAAGATCAGAGTACCTCAGAAACCAACCTACTTTTTTATTGAGCAAAATGAATGGAAAGCCATCAAAACCAAAAGACATCCAAGGGGCTTCAAAGGATTGCAGTGGACCAACATCATAGCCAACGGGATTAGGACCATCCATCCACACTGCTCAATCGCATTTAAACGACAGACTGAAAACTTCTACAGACGTTTCATAAGACATTTTAGCTCCATAGCTGCACCTCTCCACTCACTCACCTCAACCCATGTTCAGTTTTTGTGGACTCTACAGGCCGACAAAGCTTTCCAGGAATTGAAAAGACGGTTTACCTCTGCTCCTGTTCTCATCACTCTGATTCACTACGGCAGTTTGTGGTGGAGGTGGATGCTTCCAATGATGGAGTTGGGGCTGTGTTGTCACAACGTTCAGCCAAGGACAGCAAACTTCACCCATGTGCTTTTCTGTCACGTAAGTTAACACCTGCTGAACGCAACTATGATGTAGGCAACAGAGAACTTTTGGCAGTCAAAACAGCGCTTGAGGAATGGAGACACTTTCTGGAGGGGTCAGAGCAACCATTCATAGTCTGGACGGATCATAAAAATCTTGAGTACATCCGAAAAGCTAAGAGACTGAACTCACGTCAGGCAAGATGGGCTTTGTTCTTCACTCGTTTTAACTTTTCCTTGTCATTTAGACCCGGTTCACAAAATGTCAAGCCAGATGCACTCTCTCGTGTTTTGATCCTGAACCCTCGGCAAAGGAACCAAAGCTCATCCTTCCACTAAACTGTGTGGTTGGAGCGGTAACTTGGCCAATAGAAACAGAGGTGAAACGAGCTAACGGTGAGAGCCCGACACCTAGGGGTTGCCCCCCAAATAGGTTGTTTGTTCCTCAAACTGTGCGTCCTAAGGTCATTCAATGGGCTCACACCTCGCTGCTCACCTGCCATCCTGGGGTAAAAAAAAACATGTACGTCATCAAGCAACGGTTCTGGTGGACATCTATGGAGAAGGATGTCAAGGAGTATGTGGCCGCCTGCACCATCTGCGCCAGGAATAAGACCTCTTCCAGGCCCCAGATGGGTCTGCTCAGGCCGCTGCCTATCCCCAGTTGGCCCCTGGTCCGACATCTCAGTGGATTTTGTCACCGGACTGCCAGAATCCAAAGGTAACACCACCGTCCTCACGGTGGTGGATAGATTCTCTAAAATGACACATTTTATTGCTTTGCCTAAACTGCCATCGGCCAAAAGAAACGGCTGAAGTGTTGTTTGCACCATGTTTGTCGTCTCCACGGTTTTCCCAAGGACATCGTGTCAGACCGGGGTCCTCAGTTTGTCTCCCGTTTCTGGAGGGAGTTTTGCAGCCTCATCGGGGCCTCTGTCAGCCTCTCTTCCGGTTACCATCCCCAATCAAATGGACAAACGGAGAGACTGAATCAAGAACTGGAAACCTGCCTCCGGTGCCTGGTGTCCCAAAACCCAGCTTCTTGGAGTAAACACCTCACGTGGGTAGAATACGCCCACAACTCATTGCCTACCTCTGCCACCGGATTGACCCCGTTCCAGTGCGTCTACGGTTACCAACCTCCCATGTTCTCAGAGACAGAGAAAGAAGTCATGGTTCCCTCGGCACACGCACTGGTCAGGCGCTGTCATGGCATTTGGGCTTCAGCACGTCGGGTCCTCCTTAGGACTTCGGCCCGCATGAAAAAAGCGGCTGATCGGCATCGCCGTCCTGCACCTGTGTACAGACCGGGTCAGAAAGTGTGGCTATCCACCAGAGACTTGCCCCTGAACGTAGTCTCTAGGAAGCTGGCACCAAGATTATGTAGGCCCATTCACTGTGGAAAAGTGTATTAACCCTGTGTCTGTTCGTTTGCGCCTGCCTAGATCACTCAGAGTCCATCCAACATTCCACGTAAGCAAACTCAAGCCGGTCAAGGAAAGCAAAATGGTTCCCGCTTCCAAGCCCCCCCCTCCTCCCAGGCTCATTGATGGAGGTCTGGTCTACACTGTCAAGCGTCTGCTGAAGGTCAGAAAACGAGGAAGGGGTCAGCAGTTTTAGTGGACTGGGAGGGTTATGGACCGGAAGAGCGGGAATGGATCCCGTCTAGCTTCATCGTGGACCAGAACCTGATAAAGGATTTTTACAAAAGCCATCCTGAACTCGCTGGGCCGTCCGGAGCCGTCCGTAAAGGAGGGGGTACTGTGGTGTCTAGACAGTTGTGTTAAGTTAATTTATTTAGTTCAGTCCTTTTGTCTTTTGCCTTGTCTTGTGATTTCCTGTTTTATTTTGTAGTAACCTTTCCCTCTCGTTTCAGAGCATTCCTGCCCTGGTGTGTTTTTCCCACCAGTGTGATTGTCAGCCCCTCCCTTAATTGTTGCCACCTGTGTCCCCTTACCTAGTGTGTATATATAGTCTGCGTCTCCCTTTGTCTTGTGTCAGTTCGTCTTGTCTCGTCAAGCCTGCCAGTCATCCCTTGATCGTGTGAAGTATATTTTTGATAGTCATGTAGATGTTTTTTGGTTTAGAGTTTTTGATCCTCCAAGTGAGCGTTTTGTATTTGACCTTAATTAAAAGACCTTGTTAATTCTAATCTGTTTCTGGTGTTGTGCATTTGGGTCCTGAGCCTCGTGACATTCTTAACACATTGTGTGTTTTGATGAGGGCACCATGAGCGACACAACTGAGCAAGACGGTTTTATCAAGATCAGAGTACCTCAGAAACCAACCTACTTTTTTATTGAGCAAAATGAATGGAAAGCCATCAAAACCAAAAGACATCCAAGGGGCTTCAAAGGATTGCAGTGGACCAACATCATAGCCAACGGGATTAGGACCATCCATCCTCACTGCTCAATCGCATTTAAACGACAGACTGAAAACTTCAGGGTCCAAAAAACCAAGCCCAGAATGCTGGTGTCTCGGTTACTGCCGATTTGGGGACTGCCCAGTCACTGTGGCTGTGAATAGTGAGGAGGACCTCAAGGCAACAGTGCGGTTTAAAGGGGACATGACCTTACACTATCACACTGAATTAAAAAGACAACCTGTAAGGGCGGATGACCGGAAAGTGTTAGGAACATTTTTGCAACACCAATTACCCAGAGCCATGTATCTGGACACATTAAATGACATTGATGAGGACGTCATGGACTCTGGCTGCAGAGATGAAGCTCCTACTCCTCAGGTTTTGAAAAACATTTCCTGGGAGCTACAGCAGCAAAGTCGTCAGCACAGCAACGAACTCATCAGTCTCCAAATGATGGTGGGAAATAAAAATAACTCTCCAAATGAGGTCCTCCAGAAGGTGTTTGTGCACCCAGAAGGTGTTCTACTGTGGTCATCCCCAGAAGAACTCCCCTGCCTTTCCAGTTGCAACATATCTCACATGTGATCACACCACGGCCTCAGTTACCTATTTCCTTGAGGCCTTTCTCACAGACGTAGCAAGGAGATACGGACGGGAAGCCATGCGGTCGCCCATAATGCTTGTCTGCGATGGGTCGATGGTATTAATGCAGGCAATATGTTTTTGTTTTGCTAAGACAAATCTGCACGACAGCATTGACTGCTACTATCGGATTGCCAGTGGGACAGCAACAAAAGCAGACTTTAAGGTGCCTGTTCTGCATCGCTGCCTGAGTCACATCATGAAGAACGCCAAGGAAATGTCTGAAACATAGTAAGCATACCCTATTTTTTACTACAACATGTGTTTCGTTAAGAAACAATATTATGGGTGACATTTGACTTCTTTACTTTCCACACACCATAGGTGGTTGCTATCAAAGTGGCGATATGACTCTGCTCTGCCTGTTGCAAAGGATGATGTTTTACTCAGTGAACTTCCACTAGATCTGCACGTCTTACATGAAAGGCACATAGGGTTAAGAAAACACACACAAATATTAATGATGTAAGTAGGTAAACATCATCTGGTTATTTCCTTTCTATACTTTATTGAAATATTGAACCTAATTCATGTTTTTTATCCCGCAGTGCACCAAAGAACTACCATCTGGCCATGCATGTGTTTGGTCTACAACGGCAAGTAACTTGGAAGACCTTGATGACATGGTGCAAAGTACAGCAGTTGTCTTTTCAAGTCCGTCCAGAGGGGCGAATGTTTACAAACATTTGAACAACCTCCAGTCATGGCTGTTAAAAAAAGGACTTCAGTTGGATGACGCCGTCATGTCTGAAACAAATCCTGAAAACTTAGAGGTAATTGCAATTTGTGTTTGTGTGAAAAAGCTTTTCATCTACATTTAACAATTGGGCAGACTTTATATATCTGAAGTTACAAAAACATAATAAGTGCTCCAAAGCTAAGTTTGGGTCCAAAAGTAAATGGGTGCTATATACTGTAAGGGTAGTTGTGGGAAAAAAAATTAGAATAATAATAAATATAACTATAATAATTGAAAGAAGAAGTCAAAAGTGCCAGTAAACGATCGAGGTAGAGCATAATATAACAACCAATAGCAACAGTGAGACTACAAATAAATGAAAAAATATAAATTGTACAGAAGGAGCTGAAACTCTCAGATGTAATCACTATGGGGGAATTCAGGTCCATCTTAAAGGACAGAGAACACGACACCATTGGTCAATGTGAGTGCTCGTATATCCTAAAATCGTTTTAAATTATGCCAGTTTTGAATGATTTTAATAGTTTGTTTTACTTCGCATATTGACTGGCTAATGTGTGTTTATTTGTGTTTTACAGCTGTGTTTGTCTGCCTGTCATGTCTGTGTTTTATCTGTTGTAACTTTGTACATGCTGCCCTTCTTGGCCAGGTCGCTCTTGGAAAAGAGATTTGAATCTCAATGAGTCTTTTACCTGGTTAAATAAAGGATATATAAATGTTGAATCGAAATAAAAGAAAACATTAACAATGATAGAAGTAATGTCAACCAGAATAAGATCAATTAAAACGGTCTTTATTTTATTTATAACATTTCAAATGGAGTTCTAAGATCCACTGGGAGAGTGTTCTACAGTTAACAGTTATAAAAACACAAAGCACACTCAAGAGGTCTTAAGGAATACTTATGGGAATAGCTTTGGGAGAATTGAGGGCTATTGTTGGAACAAATAATGAGAGGCTGTCTCTAGGGATGAAGACCCTCTTATCCATTTTCTGTTTATGGAATATTAAAGTAGAAACATTATATTTATTTTTATATTTGTATTATGTAGGATAAATTGGTAGCCACTGAGGTAGGTGGGGTCACAAGACTTGATCAGTACACGGCACTAATCACACGTTTACAATTTACTAAAGGAAATCAAAGGAAGAAAGAACTTTGGGAAAAGATACAGCGAAGTGATTTCCAAAGCTCCACTTGATACCAGCGGTGATCCCAACGGTTACTACTGTAAAGGCCTTGTGGCTCACATCAACCAGTACCTTCTTCCCTATGCTGGATTGTGGAGCGGGATAATGCTTGGTCAGTGCTACTTAAACATGTGACGTCTTTGTCTCTGTAATGTTACTGTGCTTGCCTGTGTATTCGGAAAATAACAACACTCTTTCATGTAAACATAAAGGTGACCTGGGACGACTGGAAAACCCTATTACCTCATTCACACCAACGGTGTTTCAGGGCCGGTTCGGAGCTGGAGCTTGAAAAGCACCGGGTTATCCTGTTCACACCGCAGGGGAGCAGCCTCTTAGCTCCAGAATCCGGTTTGTTTCAAGCACCAAAAAATTGTCCGGCCAGAGCGAAAGCACCGCATACGTCACGCTTACGTCGAGGCGGGGGCAGGGGCAGATCAACTCCTGACCAACAACAAGAAGCCCGCGTTTTATCCAGTTTGGAGAACGATGGAGAAACGTAACAAGCAGCAGTGGTCCAGTGAAGAGACCAGCTACCTGCTGGGAATCTGGTCTTCCGAAGAGGTGCAGAGGAAGCTGGAGCACAATCGGCCATTGTTATTGTTGTTGTTGTTGTCAGCTGTGAGGGGTTTCCGCGCGGGTTGGCTTTATGAAGCAGGCACGCAAACGGTTACGTCATGACGCAAACGATGACGCAATGACGCAATGACGCAGCACCAGTCGGACTCTGGGCGGTGTGAAAAGAGCCGGAGCTAAACCGAAGAACCGGTTCTGAACCTGAAAAGCTCTAGCACGGAGCTTGAACCGGAGTTGCGTTGGTGTGAATGAGGTATCTGAGGACTACAGCAGAACATACAATGTCCTGAAAAACAAGAAAACACAAGTCATTGAATTGTCTTAAGTGTATTTGTAAGGAAATAATAAATATATTGTGTTTTTACTGCTAATTGATCGTATTAATTGTGTAATTATTTTCTCAGAACATAACAAGACAACAAGACACAAGGCATCATGGAGAAGAGCCAATGGGATTTGAAACATATCCGCTTCCCATCACGCAGGTTCAGCAGAATGGATGACTTTGTTGTCCAATATCAACAGAAACACAGTGCTATGCTGGAGTATGCCGACTCCTGGAGACTTTCGAAAGGTTTGCACATTTCATTAATCATGCCATGGTCAATAGTAATATGTGGTTGATTTTGAATGAGTGAATTAATCTCAAGTGTGGATGATAGCATTTTATTAAGTAACACATATTTAGTTTGTATTTATTAATATACAATCCTTTATGAGTATTACATCTTATAATAAATGTCCATGGTTATTAATGGAGAACTATATCAAATAACCCTAGAATAACGTGATAAATGAATAAAAACAACATACATTTCTCTGTACATGCATTGATGTTTAAAAAGATACAACTGGTCTGCAAAAAAGATTCCAATTATAAATCAATTCTTACATCGATAACTCTTTGTTATGCAGACATTCAGAGTGTTGGTGGAAACATGGAAGAAACGCAAGCAGAAAAAGAAGGGGCGATACACTGTAAAATATTACCATGATTTCACAATATTTAGCTGTAATATTTTACAATAAATTACTGTTTGTATGGGCATGGCAACTGTAAAGTCACAGTATTTAGTTGTACTTTTATTCTAATTAACTGTAAAATATATATAGTAAATTACTGTGAAATATTTAAATTGTGAAATCCATGCAACTAGTAGCCAGTAATTTACTGTAATTTTACAGCCAAACCTTTGACAGTGTATGTCACTGCAATCCGCAAGCCTTTCCCGTTTAAAGGTTTGGCCACGAAGGTAAAACCAGATTTCATTTTGAGATTAGATTTCTATTTGAACTGTTAAGCACAATTTCATTTCATAACATTCATCTGCTACTTAGTAATTTTGTATCTAATATATCATTCCAATAACTTGTATATAGACTCGTATTCCACTATTCCACTTTTTTATTGTTTTAATATTGTCTGCTTTTCTGTATGATTGTGTTGTGTTGCATTGTTGGAGAAGCCTGACCTAAGATGTTCAACAACATAATTACTCTAGCTATGTTAGTTTGACAATAAATAACCTTGAACCATCTTCCACTACTTCAGTGTATTTCCATCACATTCTGTCTCCTCAAATCAATATTTTGAAAATGTATTATTAGAAAAATAATTTTAAAAAATGTAATCAGAAAAGGAATGAAATGCACCAGGATAAAGTCACAACATGACAGACAGAGGATAGTTCATAATGTTATGTTTTGTACCCATACAGGTAGATTCCTCAGTGACTGAGGATGTCCTGGGAACACCCAGCGATATCTCTGCCCAGAAGCAAAGTTCACCCATCCACAACAGTTTGACTTCAAATGTATATTCAATGGAATAATTAACAGAATATATTAGAAAATAAAATAATAAAAAGAGATTATTTTTGTACATATTGAGTCTGTTGTTTTTAACTAGTTATGTCATTATGAAGAAAGACACAGAGGTTGTGGTTTCCGTTCTCCCCTCCCAGACCAAAGGAAATGATCTCATTATCCACCACAGTGAGCTTCGTACGCTTCGACCTCACGAGTGGCTAGCAGGCTAGGTATAGGTATCACTTTCGTCTCTTTAAACTGCAATTCGAAACATAAATCAATCATGCAACACATGTTGTATCATGTAATTAGTATTTTATTACCTTGAGGATAACATGTATAATTGTATCTGTTACAAAAATAGACATTGTATTGAATACACAGTTATTTAAAATCAGGAATAACGTTGTCAATGATTCATCAATGGCTACTTTTTCTAATAACTGTTGTTGGAGTTTGTAATAGAAGATGTATTTGTCAACTATCATTTAGTTCTTCATTTGTTTCCTGGTAATGTTCCTCTTATTTTTGTTTAACCTTATTGTAATGTGTTAAATAATTCAACAATCAAATAAATTGATTTTCAATTTACATGATTCAATGATCTAGATCAGGGGTGTCAAACTCAATTTCATCACGGGCCACATCAGCATTATGGTTGCACTCAAAGGGCCGGTTGTAACTTTAAGAATATATAAAAATACATATATAAATATATAATATATATGAAATAATGTATTATATTACATCATTGCCTCTGCATTGGATTATTATCAGATAGGGTAATCACTTCATAATTAACTACGTCTGGAAGCAGAAGTCTGGAGTGCAAGTCTCTTCAGTGAGAACGCCACAAAATGATTTCAAAAGAAAAGCCACATTCTGGAAAACAAAAATAAAGTGACATTTTGAGAAAAAAGTCAAATTCTGAGAAAAAACAGGCATATTTTGAGATGCATTGTGGGGACATGTAGTTTATGGGCAACGTGCTTCTGTAAATCCTCATGTAACCGTATAATAAACATATTATATTCTTTGCAAGCTCTTGTGGGGCCGCATGAAATGAAGTCGCGGGCCAGATTTGGCCCCCGGGCCTTGAGTTTGACACCCCTGATCTAGATAATGGAAGGTCTGTTCCAAATGGCTGCAAGCGAACAGGAGATCCATATCATGAACTACTACACAGCACATGTGATGCTGTTTGGGGAAAAAGAGCAGGTGTTACGGAACAGTTTACGAAAGGTCATCTTTGAGAACCTTCCTGGACTGAAGTGTGTTCGTCGGTATGCGTGATTCATACTTGCTTCATATGTTTGTATTGTGTAGTGTTCTAAAGAAATGGAACATTTAGAAAAGTGTTATCATATTGAATAATGCTTCATTCGGCACATGTCATTTATATTATTATTGTTTCACAGGTGAACTTTGAACCAGGCCATTGTTTCATTTGTAAATATAAACAATGAGCACTGGAAGTTACTATCATTATTATTCCAATAAACATACATTACATGTTTCAAATATACAGCTTATAATTGTTCAATTAAACTACCTATTTGTAAATGTCAGTACATAAACGCAGTCAGCAACACAGTGTTCCTGGTGGGTCCTGCAGGGTGTTCCACAGAGGACGCAGACTCGCAAAGTGCAGCAGAAAAAACCTGGTATTTATTACTTGAATTCCTCAAGACTTCATTCCTCTGATCCTGAAATGATGCACATTATGTGCACAAGAACAGTTTTCAGTGGTGACCACGCACCTGGAAGGTATAACCAGTAGCACGCTTTGATTTGGTCATTCCTCAATCCACAATTAAAGCTGCATTAAAATAAGAAAATGTATATAGTAGAGGTAAAAGTAAAAAAGGTAGTAATTGATTGTGATGGCAGGATTGGGAAATAGAGAAGGTTACTTTTTAGGAATGATCTTAGATAATGTGGGCGATAACGGGCCTTTCATTTGATATCATTACAATTATTTTGGTTTTGAATCTGTTTTTGCTGCTTTGTCCACACTATAAATAACTTCAATCATAAATCACATACAGTGAGTTTTTCAAAATGAGGAGGACATCCAATGCAAAAACTAAGTGGAACATTAAGTGGAAAGGAAGGGTCCTGGAACTCCCAACTCAGCAAGATGGCAATAGCTGTGGGGTTATTGTCGTCATGGTAACTGCCTTTTTAGTTAAAGTAATCAAATAATTATGATATTCTGAAGTGGGTTTGATTTCTGTGAATTAAATCCATCTCTTTTTAAATTAATTTATACCTGTGCAATTATAGTTGACGATAAAAATATGACAAATACATAGTTCAAAATAATTGAGCAAGAGTTTATTTGAGTTGTTGCTTTAGAACAGCTGCACTGTGCAAGAATCAGACCCATATGATATTGTGAATACTTTTGTCATTCAGATGGCCAGGACATCACAAAAGGAAATGAAGGAGGAGAGAAAAACCATGGCTCTCTGGATACTGAGGGCTTCAGGTTTGTAGAGAAAGTTTGTGTCTGTATTGTTGAGGAATAAGAACAGAAAGATTTACACACAGGTAAACCACTCTGCCAATTTTATTTACAAAACACCATTGTGAGGGACTGTGCTCTCACGCACGGTTTAAATGACGAAAGGAATTGTTGTAAAATAAAGTTAGGTTTATTAACAGAAAACATGTCCACAGTATAACATGCAAAGTATATCAACATAAAGTCACAGCTCTACTGCCAGCAGCTTCCAAAAAGAGGTCACTCTGGGGCCAACAGGTCCTCTCAGGACCAAGTCTACTGCAAGAGACAAGAGCCAGGTTACCAACATACTTTAATTGTGTGACTGATTACTTGATCCTTGTCCGGCTGTCTGCTCTCCGGCTGAGTCACTCCCATCTCACCCAAGCAGCTGGTGCTCTAACCATACCCCCACAACCACAACTATACTTAGTGATCCAAGTGAATTATGGCAGGTGATCAGATCATTTGGAAAGCTCATCGATAATTACGCGGGGATCAGTGCAGAGGCAGATGTGAGACATTTGTGGACAGAATAGAGACAGTTGGAGAAACCAGATATTTGGTGTTGGGCAGGAGGGGGGATCTGTATTGTGATTTGGCAGTACAACCAGACACAAACACCGAGAGATAGATGAATGGAATGGTAAATAGGAAGTGGACCTGAATAGTGTCCGGTGGAGATTTTAACACAGCTTACCATAACAGTAATTCACACACAGCAAATAGTACCTTTTTTAAATAGCTGTTTACCTGAACAACGTAAAATGCATGCGTTTGTAAATTGTTAAAAGAATACATGCAGTATACAAATATGTTCTTAAGAAACTCATGCAGTCCTAGCAGTTGGTTAATGAAAGCTTATTTATGATACGTTGTCTCAACACTGAATTTCACACTAAATAGCTGATGTTGTTTCAAATTGTTTTTACATTTTAGTGTTCAATCTGGAAAACAATTGTGCAATGTGTTCGATGGCAAAGCCCCCTGGAGATGGGCCTCAAATGACAGGGTTGAGTAAACTGAGTTATTGAACAAAAAATAAAAAATAGATTATTGTAGGAGCCATGAAACATGTTTACAGTAGTATTGCGTTCTTGTTTTGATATAAGATATTTGGTTTGAGCACTTTTGATTGGTTGGCTTGGGTCCACACTCATTATAATCCTGTTCACCTGCGTGAGGTGTGGGATGGAAGGGAGGGTGACACAGGGTCGTTGTACTTTTTGTGTGACCGCAAGTTGAAATGATTGCTTTGATTATTATTACAATGTAGCCTAATGTCTGTTCACCGAGTTTTCATTAAACCACATTATTTTTGCAACAGAGTTTTGGATCTCAGCAAAGATACTTTTTTTAGCGTGTCACACAATATCAAACAGGCCCGGCCTCAGCCTCTCAGCGACTTTGTTGTTTCCTGCTGTCGCCACAGTTATTATTACTAAAGTTACATAAAAACTGCTGTTGAAGTTTACTCATTGGAAACCATTTTGTTCCCATAATAGTGACAGGTCAGAATTTAATATCAAGTTTTAGATTTCCATCTTGTCATCTTGTAGAATTCAATGTGACACATGCTCGAGATGGTCCATGAACAATGGTTGCCCATGGACAACTCGAGAACTGGAAGAAGGCCAGAGCTGCCGCATGGGATTGCTGTTTGTGCCCTTAGAATAAAAACGGATTGTCCCGCAAAGTCCCTGCAGCCAACCTCGATGGCATCCACTGTTATTTCAGTATTATTTGTTTTTTATACTTAGTTATGTTTATTGCAATTGTTAATTTTTGTAACATTAATCTCTTAATATGATGTTATGCTACATTGATTTAATCATCTATTTTTCCACATTTCATTGTGTTTTTTATAATATTTGATTAGTTCTATATTATGAAGTTATTTTATTCATCTATTCTATCTATTGAACTTTTTTTGCACTCTATTAGTAATGTTAAGTTATTGTTTTTGTATTTAAAATATAAAACGTATATATTTTAAACAGTTTCTGATGTCTGTTTTTACATCCCGTTAGTAAATGACCTGATTCTTGTTGACCTGGTCGCCAGTGTGTGTTTCTTACCCTCCCAGCTGTTTCTTGTCCTTGTGATGAATTTCCGTCTGAGAGCCCGTCTGCCCCAGCGTTTCTCAGTTCGTCGTCGTTCCAGCCTATGTCGTTCCAGCCTATGTCGTTCCAGCCCATGTCTCGCCCTGCGTATTCCCTCTGTTGTTATTGTGGATTCCTGTTTCTCGTGCCTTCCTGGTTTGTTCCTTATTTTATTTGTGTTATATTCTAGACATAATATTTAACATAAATTGTACACATTGAAAACCTTTTTATCCATTACAAAATAATAATATTCAAAACTAATACATCAGAATATAGACTTTAGCAAATACCGTAAGTAAACTATAAGAAATATAATAGCGCATTTTTTTGTCCTCAATATCTGCCTCCCTTGTTTTAATACTGTGTTTGGGTCCTGTCTTACAAATGCCCAATCGTGATACATACCATTTGATTTTCAAAATAAATCAGAATATTCTTATTTCTTCTGAGTGACTACATGGG